TCCAGGTTTATTCCAAAAAATAAATGGATCAAAAACTGGTGTACTCGTGTGGCATCATCAGAGTATTTTTTCCAATCTCACACTGCGAAGATTAATTGACTGGTAATCATTAATACAGGTAAGTGTTGATGTTGCTTGACATCCTCTTCCCAAGACGATGCATGTGTAATTTACGATTAATTTGACGAAAGAATTTAACACACGTCATCGATTAGTTCTACCAACAGTTAACATTAGCATTACGACCCCTTGTGACGAATGGTTTATTCATAAAGGTACCATGCTACAACCAGTAAATTATAGAATAACCAATACTGTTTCATGATATTTTTCACAGTGATTAGCCTACATATCTAATCACCAATTTGCCTCGTAATCGTGCCTCGCGTCATATCTCGCTCTCGCGTTCTGTGCATACATCCCAGGTGAGTTTAGTGATACGCCCTTTGGACCATTCATAGGAAAAATCAGACTAGCATTCCCATTTCTTAAATGTCATAATTAGTAGACCTTGGTGAGTTTTTTTCGCCGCCATCTCAAACTTTCATCCGCGCGATTCCTCAGTTTGCGGACTTAAATAGCAACCCGCATGCGCACATAACGTCATCTGTTTGTGGCCAACAGGTGGCACTGTAAGGGCTCCGCCTGCAGCTGCACACCTGTTGGTCATTGTGTCATTAGTTGTTTGTTTTAAAAGGACTCCCGAAACGACCACTCCGTGTCGGGTCATTGTTTGTTCGATCATGTTTGTTTCTGTCATGGTTCTGTAACTGTCATGGTTTTCATTTGCTACTTTGGATTCTTTTTGTTTTCAGGATTTTGTTTGTTTAGGATTTACAGGTAGTTTTCTCTGTGTTTTAATACAATTTGTCAACTTCACCCTGCTCCTTCCTCCTGCCTGCTTTTTTGGGGACCTCCACCTCCACTGTTTCGTGACAAATCTAGAATGACGAGACATTCGTAAGTAGAGGTTCCACTGTGTGTGTGTGTGTGTGTGTGTGTGTGTGTGTGTGTGTGTCTGTATTCTATATACTGTATATA